ATTTTGCTTTCAGGCAATTATCCTCAGTTTGGCTCAAATAAACTCATAAAATTCTCTACAGGTTTAGATGTTTCTTACATCAACACGCCTAAATATATAAGATAATCTACTTTCCAAAAGAGAAATCCATAACAAATGTGTTGTCTAACCTAAATATAAATTTTTGAATGATCAAATAGTCCGATGCCTATTGATTTATCAATTTAAATACAAATATATACTTTTAAAATCATAAAATATCTTTAGAAATTTCATTCTTTTCTATTCTCACTGAATAGAATAATTTTACCAAAATTGTTCACATATATCATTGACATCAATCAAGTCTTTTGGGGAGGGATGGTGTCATCTAACACCATTTTCCTGAAGACACCACCTTCAATGTTATTTGAAATATAGTACTCTGAGTCCATGTTAGTTGCTGTCCCTGTACATCTTATCCCAAGCCAAAAGCACTCCTTCACTATATAATGACCTCTAAAACGATATTAGGTATATAGTACCCACTTACTAAACTTGCTTATTATTAGTAAGGTGATTTTTAAAATATATATATATTTTATTGATTTTTTTACAGAGAGGAAGGGAGAGAGAGCTAGAAACTTCGATGAGAGAGAAACATGGACCAACTGCCTCTTGCACACCCCCTACTGGGGATGTGCCCGCAACCAATGTACATGCCCTTGACCGGAATGGAACCTGGGACCTTTCAGTCCACAGACCGCTCTATCCACTGAGCCAAACCGGTTTCGGCAGTAAGGTGATTTTTACAAGGCTTTTTTTACAACTTCATCCAACTTTTCTGTGAACTGATAAATCTATTAAAATGTCTGTTTTTTAAAATCAATTTCATCAGGTAAATTTTATAAACATCCAAATTAGCACCCACCTAAGTCACTTAGGCTTGTGTCTTTCCCAAACAGTTATATTAAAAAATGACAACCCTAGCCAGTTTGGCTCAGTGGATAGTGTTAGCTTGCAGACCAAGGGTCCTGGGTTTGATTCTGGTCAAGGGCACGTACCTTGATTGCAGGCTCCTCCCCCGCCCAGGACCTGGGCTCAGGCAGGAGGCAACCAAGTGATGTGTTTCTCTCACTTGATGTTTCTGTCTTTCTCTCTCTTTCACTTTCTCTAAATAATCAATAGAAAAATATACTTGGGTGAGGATTAACAAAACAAACAAATAAAATACCAATAAAAACATATTTTTTAAAAAGACAAAATTTCTGTCTCATAATAGGAGAGATTTTTGTAAAGACTTGGGGACCAAAATTTTGCTACCACCAAATATACCTTTTTGTGATATTGATTTTAAGCTGGTTATTAAGAAACAAAAGACTCAGAACCTTTGACTCCCTTCCCTTACCCATTTAAAGGAATTCAGATAGAAAAAGGAAGGGAGCTTTACTTTATCATCACAATATAAACTAAATGTGGCAGAAATTGAGAAACCTAGCAAAGCCTGTTTGTTGAACTTCCTTCTGTGTCCCATTGTTTCTGTGTGTCCCAGCAAAAATTTATTCCCCACATGTTTGCTCTTTCTTATTTACCTGTGAATTGCCTACTTTTTCTTTGAAATCCCAGATCCCTGCCCTCTTTGGCCAAAATGGTATACACACCTCAATTGTTCAATTCATCTTTGGGTCCCATTCTTGCAGTACCACCCCATGTATACCCAAAATAAATTTTGGACATTTTCTTATTAATCTGTCTCATGCTAATTTGATTATTAGCTCACCTAGAAGAACTTGAAAGGTAGAGAGAGGGAAAAGTTGGTTTTTGGAACCCCAAGGGCAAGTAATACTTTTCTATCAGAAATAATTTGAAGGAGGAGCTATATTTAGGTTCACATGTTTATCAAACTGGCTATTCCACATTAAAACTTTAAAGAAAAAAGTCCTGGCCAGTGTGGACCAGTTGGTTGTCCTGTGCACTGGAGGGTGGAGAGCAGGAGGTAACCCATTGATGCTTCTCTCTCTCTCCTCCATTCTACTCTCTTAAAAAAAAAAAAAAAAAAATCAGCCGAAACCAGTTTGGTTCAGTGGATAGAGCGTCGGCTTGCGGACTGAAGGTCCCAGGTTCAATTCTGGTCGAGGACATATACCTTGGTTGTAGGCACATCCCCAGTAGGGGGTGTGCAGGGGGCAGTTGATCGATGTTTCTCTCTCATCGATGTTTCTAACTCTCTATCCCTCTCCCTTCCTCTCTGTAAAAAAATCAATAAAATATGTTAAAAAAAAATCAATGGAAAAAATATCCTCATGTGAGGATTAACAACAACAACAAACCTCTAAGAGTATTACTATCACAAATACTCTAAGGAAAATGAGGAAAACCAAGAGGTACTATCTATTAAAAAGCTACATATTTCTTTTATTCACCATGCTTTTATACAAGTTGAAATTATTAAACAGTGGTTATAAGCTAGCAATACAACTAGTTTATCATTTTAGAAGGCTTTTGGGGCCAGAGGAGGCATAATGCATCAATTCTTAAGACAAAATTACAAGAATATGAAACAAATTAAGCAACTTGAGTACTCTATTTATCCATTTAAGGTACAGACAGCAACTTCTAATTTCATGTGAGGCCTCAAAAACAAAATTTTAAATGGAACTTTTTACTAGTAAGAGGAATTTGGATGTTAAGAAATAGCTTTAGCCGAAACCGGTTTAGCTCAGTGGATAGTGTCAGCCTGCGGGCTGAAAGGTCCCAGGTTTGATTCCGGTCTGGGGCATGTACCTTGGTTGTGGGCACAATCCCCAGAAGGGGGTGTGCAAGAGGCAGCTGGTTGATGATTCTCTCTCATCGAGGTTTCTAGCTCTCTATCTCCCTTCCTCTCTGTAAAAAAAAAAAATCAATAAAATATATATATAAAAAAAAAGAAAAAAAGAAAAAAAGAAAAAAAGAAATAGCTTTAGGCCCTTGCCAGGTGACTCAGTTGATTGGATCATTGATCCTATACACCAGAGATTATGGGTTCCATTCCCGCTCAGGGCACATACATAGGTTTTGAGTTCCATCACCAGTGGGGGCATGTATGGGAGGCAACCAGTTGATGTTTCTCTTTCACATCCAATGTTTCTCTTTTATTTTACATAGATGTTTCTCTCCCTTCCTCTCTAAAAAAATAAATAAATAAAAATCAATAAAGACATATACTCAGGTAAGGATTAGAAAAAAGAAAAAGAGCCCTAGCCAGTTACTCAGTGGTTAGAGCCTCAGCCCAGGGACTGAAGGGGCATGGGTTCAATTCTGGTCCAAGGCACGTACCTCGGTTACAGGCTCGATCCCAGCCAGGGCACTTGCAGGAGACAACCCATTTTTTTTTTTTTAAATATATATATTTTATTGATTTTACACAGAGAGGAATTGAGAGGGACAGAGAGTTAGAAACGTCGATGAGAGAGAAACATCGACTGCAGCCTTTTGCACACCCCACTCTGGGGATGTGCCCGCAACCAAGGTACATGCCCTTGACCGGAATCGAACCTGGGACCTTTCAGTCCACAGGCCAACGGTCTATCCACTGAGCCAAACGGGTCCGGCAGGAGACAACCCATTGATTTGTGTCTCTCACATGGATGTTTCTCTCTCTCTGTCTCTCCCCCTCCCTTCCACTCTCTCTAAACATCAGTGGAAAAAAAATATCCTCCAGTGAAGATTAACAACAACAACAACAACAAAAGAAAAAACTTTGGAAACCCTGACACAACTTAACTTCCTAAAATAAAACCCCACATTATATTAACTCAAACAATATAGCTCCTTAAATGTCATATGCGGGAGAAGCCAACGAGGAGAAATGGATATTTTATCCTTTGAAGAAAAATCAAGGAAATATGAAAGTCGTGATGTATTAAAATATTGACTCTTTAGTTATCAAAAGCCTATTCGGGGCAATATGAATTATTGTCTAAAATCGGCTTGCTTTTTAACTTCAAAATAAACAAAGTCCATGACTCCAAGACAGCAGCTGATAAGAGATCAACTCTTCTAAACCAAGTCAAGATCAAATGGTCGGTTGAAAGTCTCCCAGACCGGCCCATCATCCAGGGACAAGTGACTCGGTTCCTTCAGATGGCAGGTGGGTGCGGGGCGGGAAACGACCTGGCACTGCCTGCATCGCACCCTTAAAACCCCACGGGATTTCTCCCATCCCCTCGGAGAACCGTGCGCCCAAGCACACCTTGGTGTGGCGAGGAGTGTGAAATGATGGAAATACCATTTATAATATTTGCCCTCCATTTCCGGAATGCCATATCAACACCAACACACTCCTGGCTGGCATCTCCACCAGAGGCCACGGAAAAACAACTCAGACCTGCGGTTTCCACCCTCTCCCCTAGCCGAGGTGTTTGAACCTCAGCCCTGGGCCTCGGGAGTTCTCTTCTGAGATCATTTGTTCAGTGGGAAACTCACCGTGAGAAAAGCAATGTGGGGCTGGTACGTCCGCTACCAAAATAAGACATTAAAAAAAAAAAATGCCGATCCTACCCTCTCCCTCTCCCTCCTCACATAAAACAAAAATAAAACCATCCTTCACCTCACCCCCCCCCCGAAAACTTGCCTCACCATCATGAAGATCTTACAAGCTCTAGATCAAATGTGCTTCCCAATCATCACCCCCCCCCAGGTAACAGAGCACCGGAGCGAGCTTTCGCCCCGACGCCCCCATCTCTCACCCGAGCCGGGGCCAGGCCCCTCCACTGACAGGAGGGGCTCGTAGCCGGACGTCGGCTCGGAGGGGAAGGGAGGCATGGATTCTCGCCAAACGCCGCTCACGCTGGGGAGAGAGGTAACACGGGGCCAAGAGGGAGTCACACGGCTTAGGGTGCGGGCAAGGCCTCCGCACTGACGAGAAGACAGGCAGGGACCCGGCATCGGGGGAGGCGGGAGAGGAGCCCGGCCTAGGCCGCACCAGGCCGCGGAGTGGCCGTACGCGGCTTCCCGACCGGGGCCGCGAGCCAAGCCTGAGAGAAAAAAAGAGTTATCCTTACCTGGACGGGTTCCTGCAGCACCGTCATCCTTGAGGCTCAGGCCCACTTTCTGCAGTGCCTCAGGCCCCCCCCGCAGTGGCTCCGGCCCGGCCAGCCCCGGCTCATTTAAACTCACCAGCGACCGTTACCGGGGGATGGGGGCGGCCGAGCGCTTGCCGAGCGCCTCCGAGCGGGACACGGAAACACCCGAAGTGGAGAGACCCGCGCGGGAGCCGGGCGGAAAAGCCCGAAAGAGGCCGGAAATACCCGCGGGGAATCGGCGGGGGAGGAGACCGTTGCCGGAAATTGTCGAGGGTCACCGGAAACCGCCGAGTCTGACCCAGCGCATAGGTTCCTCTTCTCGGCCACGCCCTTTCCTCACGCACGCCACGCCCCCTCGGCCACCCAAGGCGGGGCCACGCCCAAACGGCAATCGCCGGGCCCGGCGAGGCGAGGGGTGCCTGAGCCGGCGGGGGCGTTACGTGGCCTTGCTGCCTTCTCGATTGGCCCCTCAGCCTTTCTATATTAATTGGGTCTTGATAGAATCTAAGATTAAGCAAAGAGTATAAAACTCGAGAGGTTGGGGCCGACTTGAATTAATCAAGAAGTATTTACTTGTTGAGTTTAGGTCATTCATTCATTCATTCATTCCAGTAGTACCTGTTCACGGCTCAGACGGAAATGGGAAATTTGCAAGGATTGCCACCCTCCAAAATTTTAGTACGGCCCCCGTTCTCAAAGAGATTACAGTCTCTTTTAGGAAAGCGCACTGTGACAAAGGGCTACATTATGTGATACCCATTGTAAGTGACGTAAAAATTCAGAGACGAGGACAATTAATTGGGATTAAAGTGAGAAATGTTTCTTGGAAGGAAAAAGGGAGATATACTGTGCTTTGAAGGATGGTTAGAATTAGAAGAAAAGAAAATGTGCATGAAGGGGAATAAAAATGAGATCAGTCTGGTGAGAGTTAAGGCATTTACTGGAAATATTTACTTAAGTGACCAAATCTTGGAAAATCTCAGAAGGCAGGCAGACATTTTTAAAAAAATTATTTTATTGTGGTTTTTTTTTTTTTGTTTGTTTGTTTGTTTTTTTACAGAGAGGAAGGGAGAGGGATAGAGAGAAATATAGATGAGAACGATCAATTAGTAGGCAACCAAGGTACACGCCCTTGATCTTGACCGGAATCAAACCTGGGACCCTGCCGACACTCTATCCACTGAGCCAAACCAGTTAGGGCAGAAAAAATTTTTTTTTCTTTTCTTAGAAAATATGGAACGCTTCACAAATTTGGGTATCATCCTTGCACAGGGGCCATGCTAAATCTTCTCTGTATCGTTCCAATGTTAGTATATGTGCTGCGGAAGCTAGCACAGGCTTTTTTTTTTTTTTTTTTTTTGTCTTAATTGGGGAATCATTCTGATGTCTGGGATAGAGTGTGGAATTGGAAATCCAAAGGCTTCATTTTGAATTTAATCTCTGGCACTATCTGGTTTTGGGTCCTTAGGCAAGTTATAGTGTCTCTGAACTTTCATTTTTTTGGTCTGAAAAAATGATTATGAGAATTAAATGCATACTTATGTAGCTGTATCTAACTCACATGTGGACTCTCTCAAATTTACTTCCTGCTCCCTTCCCCCAACAATGTGTGAACCAGAGAAGTATTAAACTTTGTTTTTCAGTAGATGAAGAAAACAGTTTTTGTTGGTTCATTTTCTAGTCAGAATATCTCTAGACTAGATGTGGTACTCACAGTATATTCCACTGGTTGGAAATTTTCCTTTCTGGCTCTCAGCTTTTATGCAAATGAAATCAAGTTAGAATGGTCACTCCTTTCCTTTGGGTAATGTTGGAGAGAAGTCTTTTATTAAAAACAAAACAAAACAAAACAAAAAACACACAAAACACCACTTGATAGAGCTGGATCCATCATCACCCATAGTTTATGTAGTTGTAGGTGCTAAGGTGATTTTCTGTTGCCCTGTTGTTGTTTTGTTAGCAGGGTTATGCTGGGTGAATTAGAATGGGAATAATCTTCTGTACAGTACAGTAGTCACTAGCTATTTAAAATTTAGTAAAAATCAAGTACAATTAAAAATGAAGTTCTTCCGATGCCCCAATTACATTCCAAGAACTCAATAAAAATATGTGGTTAGTGGTCCCCATGTTAAATATTGCAGGTATAGAATATTACCATCATCGGCCTGACTGGGGCTCAGAGAGCTTCACTCACATGTTTGAGGGGTTGGTGCTCGCTGTTGGCTGAGCCCCTACGTCCTCCTCCACATCTCATCCTTGGCCTCTCCTCACTCATTAGTTTAGTTCTAGCTTCCTGACCTGGTGGCTGGCAACCAAGCAGGTGAAAACAGACGCTGTGGGGCCCATGAAGGCCTGGGCCTGTAAGTCAAATTCCATCACTTCTTGTTGGTCAAAGTAAGATGCAGGGCCAGCCTGCATTCAATAGACTGCACCTCTTTTTTTTAAAAAATATATATTTTATTGTTTTTTTACAGAGAGGAAGAAGAGGGATAGTGAGTTAGAAATATCGATGGGAGAGAAATATCGACCAGCTGCCTCCTGCACACCCCCCACTGGGGATGTGCCTGCAACCAAGGTACATGCCCTTGACCAGAATCAAACCTGAGACCTTTCAGTCCGCAGGCCGACACTCTACCCACTGAGCCAAACCGGTTTCGGCATAGACTGCATCTCTTTTTTTTTTTTTTAATATATATATTTTATTGATTTTTTTACAGAGAGGAAGATAAGGGATAAAGAGTTAGAAACATTGATGAAAGAGAAACATCGATCAGTTGTCTCCTGCACACCCCCTACTGGGGATGTGCCCGCAACCAAGGTACATGCCCTTGACCGGAACCTGAGATCTTTCAGTCCTCAGGCCGACGCTGAGCCAAACCAGTTTTGGCTGCACCTCTTGATGGGAGGAGTGGCAAAGGGACACTGCAAAAGGTATTGTCCAAGGGAGAGCTTGATTGTTGAGTCATCTTTGGGAACAGCCTACCAGGTATGAGTGAGAGAATCTGGTAAGATTTTTGGAAAAGGAAAAGAAGGAATGCATAAGACATATCACTCTTTTAAAAAATATATATATATTATTGATTTTTTTGCAGAGAGGAAGGGAGAGGGATAGAGAGTCAGAAACATCGATAGGAGAGAAACATCAGCTGCTTCCTACACACTCCCTACTGGGAATGTGCCCACAACCAAGATACATGCCCTTGACCAGAATCGAACCCAGGACCCTTGAGTCTGCAGGCCAATGGTCTATCCACTGAGCCAAACCGGTCCCAGCAAGACATATCACTCTTAAAATTTGATGCATTTAACTGAACGCAACACTCCAGATTTATTCTAATTAATTCAGCATGCAGTAGGACTATTGCTTTTATTATCTGGACACTTCTATTAGAGTAGACTAAAGTTGTATTTACATTTTTTAGCAGTTACATGAGACTTTGCTCATGCTAAGCTTGTGTTCATGTTACAAACACAGCTCTTTTCCACACAATATGCTGCCAAACCAAGTCTTGTACTTGTGCAATGGATTCTTGTAAACTTAAGTGTAGGAACTTACAACACAGAATATACATAAAGATATTTTTTTTGTGTGTGAAAATGTGTATCTAGAGTCAGCATTTGAAGAGTCTGTGATGCTTGGCACTCTGGCTCATTTAAGCTTAGAATTTCCCTAAAGCTTTTTCCCTCCACCTACCTCTACAAAATGGCGTCTCGTTTCTGACTGCTGTTCACTGGGCTAATACATCTGTTGTGGTTTTCTATTCATCCACAGCAAGACCACATTGTTGGAAGTTGTGCTTGGATGCAATTTTTTAGAGAATTTTTACTTCTTCTCTCTGTTCCTGACTAACCTACTTAAACTCACCATCCAGCAAGCACTTGGGCATCCTGCTGCCATCCATTATCCACATACATTTAGCTAGATGTGGAGTTCGGTTACAATAAGCACCATTCCAAACATGGTAAAGTATCTTTTCTTTTTAGCCTGCCTGTTGGCCTGTTTCATGTACAATCAGATGGAGGCCAGCATTTAGGAAACTACTCAAGAAGCTAGACATGGTATCTTTGCCAAGATCCAGGTATCCCTGAAATACAGCCCTAGAGCAGTGGTTCTCAACCTTCTAATGCAGTGACCCTTTAATACAGTTCCTCATGTTGTGGTGACCCCCAACCATAAAATTATTCTCCATAACTGTAATTTTGCTACTGTTAATGAATCGTAGCCTGGGTCTCCCTCTTTAGGGCAATTGTGGGGCGATGGTGGGGCCTCCTGACCAATCGCATTGCACCCACCTTGGCAGCAGCAGTCAGTGCTGGGTCACTGCAGTGCCCGTGACCCGGGAGGAACAGAGAGGTCAGTAGTTCAGCCTGCTCACCAATCTCCACCCACCCGAGCCTGGCTCTTTATATATTAGAATATATATATATTATATTCTAAATATATTTTTATTGATTTCATAGAGGAAGGGAGAGGGAGAGAGAGATAGAAACATCAATGATGAGAGAATATCATCGATCAGCTGCCTCTTGCATGCCCCACACTGGAGATGGAGCCCACAACCTGGGCATATACCCTGATGGGAATGGAACCATGACCTCCTGGTTCATAGGCCAATGCTCAACTACTGAGCCATGCTGGCTGGGCTCTCCTTACTCATCCTTCAGGCCTTAGCTTTAATATCATATCCTCAGAATATCCCCTATTGTACCTAATCTAAATTATTAGCTCGACTTTATAATTCTCTCTCACCACATTTTTGTTCTTTTCCTTCAAGGTATATATGGTAGTTTTAATTACCTTTGTTTAATATAAGTTCCACAGAGGCAGGGACTTTGGCTCACCATGATGTTCTCATCACCTAGCATGGTGCCCTGCACAAATATAAGCAATATTACAATATTATAAGTGTATCTGATTATTAAATGACTTTATCACTTAATTTTATCTCTTATGCTTTTATGAATACCCCTTTCTGCCTCTAGAAACATTCTGGCCTTAAACATGAGTCCTTAAGGGAATTAAAGTCAAGGTAGCCTTGGCCAGTGTGTCTCAGTAGTTGAGCATCAACAATGAACCAGGTGGTCATGGTTCCATTCCCAGTCAGGCCACATGCCCAAGTTGCAGGCTTGATTCTCAGTTTAGGGTGTGCAGGAGGCAGCCAATCAATGATTCTTTCTCATCATTGATGTTTCTCTCTCTCTCATCCTCTCTGAATTAAAAAAAAAAAAAAAAAAAGCACAGGGGAAAAGATAAACAATAAGCCAATTAGCTTGCCTGGGGTGAAGGCTGTATAAGCTTGGTAGAACTGGTGGTGTTGGGGATAGTTGATAACCTTTGGGTTCCAGGCTGATGACTTTAGATTTGATAAAATAGACCTACAGAGCTGCTGGTGGTGATAGAGTTGCTCATGAGAATGGAATTTGAGAAAGATTATGCTGGCAGCTGAGGATTATGTGAATTGGAGGTGAGAATAGGGACCCGGAATGCAGCAAAGAGACTGCTAGGGAGTCTAGGCAGCTATAACTT